AAAAAAAAAAACCCAAAAAACGAAAAAACAAAAAAAAAAAAATCCCAAACTATTACCTTCTATCTGCCCTTACCCAAGAAGGGTAATCTAGAAATTATATTAGTAGATAAGGTTAAATTTGCCCAGAAGCTGTCAGAGTAAAAAGTCTGAACTACCATTATTACCTTTGATCTGCCCTTACCCAAAAAGGGTAATCTACAAATTATATTAGTAGGTAAGGTTAAATTGCTCAGCAGTTGTCATGTGTTCTGCACCTGACAACGTTTTCTGTGATTTCTAAACTTCAGGGGGTTTGTGAAATTTACCCTTCTTGAACTATGACTGAGAGATACCTGGACCAAGGTTATATATGTGGTGGGTAATCACATCCAACGAAGTTGGTGCTTTCGTTTTATTGACGAGTTCGCTGAACCAGTTTGTATCAAAGAAACCCCCTGGTGCGAGAACTAACGGCTTGTATGGGAAACCTCGATATATGTTGTTTATCATTGAATTGAGCGAGATAACATCTGCAGCATACTGGTCTGCTCCAATTCTAGCTCCAACTCCACTCCCACTTAATTCATTCCCTGAAGATCAAAAATAACTGTTAAATGTGATTCTGAAGACAAATGTAATTCTGTTGTCTGCATGAAAAGCCTTTTATGTCATAGGAATAAGAAATTTAGTATACTATTTTCTTTGGTATAGGTAATATTTGAAACCCTTGTGCCCTTCTCAAAGGACAGGATTAAAGGCCTGGAGTTACTTATATTATCAGTTCCTAGAATGTGCATGTTCATAAATGACAATTCTTTTAATAATCATTCCCTGCATTTTTCATCATAAACAACCCGGATTGGGATGTTGGAATTTGGTGGCTTTATAGAAACTTGAGAGCCCCTTGATTCATAGATAAGAAATTTATGGGATAAGAAGATTCCTTTGCCTTTTAGAAAATTGCGAGTCACACCCAGTTTTTGTTAGGACAAACCTGGGGCCCGATAGAGCAGAGTCATAGTGAATAGTAGTGTGGAAATAGTAAAATTAAACACAGATTTTTACATGGAAAACCCACTAAATGAATTTGGGGTAAAAAATACGGGCAAGAATAGAAGAATTCACTATGAGAAAAATTTAGGAGTTACAATCTCTCTTTATAAGGAGAAATTCTCTCTCTCTCTCTCTCTCTCTCTCTCTCTCTCTCTCTCTCTCTCCTACTTGCTACTGGATGATCTCAACTTAAGGCTAGGGGGCTATATATAGGTGATTTTGTGGTAGATGTGCATTGTTGCTACAGCATTGATACAATAATGGTTGGTGGGTCTGTGGTTGGTAGTTACTATAGCGGGTAGATGGTTACTGCTACTCAATAGCAAACAATCTTAGGCTTCAACAATCTTCTACTAGAAGATTTAATTGAAAATCAATCATATCTTCACACCATTCATTCTGTCTTATCATTTTCATGTTGCTTATGTCTCCGTTAGACCACAGGAGGATCGACACCAAACAAACTTGTCAGTGCTGATTGATTTCGTCAAAAAATCTGCTAGGTTATATTTAATGTGAATTTTATACATATCCATTGTTCATTCTTCCACTTTCTCATGAACGAAGTGGTACTGGACTCGAATGTGTTTCATCTCTAAATGAAAAACTAAATTTCTTTCCAAATGCAAAGCACTCTGATTGTTACAAAATAAAAAAAATCTTCTTTTGTTCATGTCTGAATTCCTCCAATATTATTTTTAATCATATTGCCTATTTATTAGCTTGTGTAGCTGCTACATATTCTGTTTCTGTTGTTGATGTAGTCATAATTGACTGTAGTTTTAAAACCTAGCTTACATGATAGGGATCACACTATCCGGTTCTACTCCAGGGGAACTTGGCATCGTAGATAAATTATTAGAGATATTTTATAGTTCTTGTTAGGAAAGGATTGTGTTGTTTTTCAAATTTTATCTGCAATCAGATTCCTTGTTAGGATAGGATTATGTTTGTTTTCAGATTTTATCTTTGTTAGATGGTAAGGTAGTTAAATCAGATTGTATTCAAATGAGATCTGATCTTGTAGATAAGTTTGAGTTTGCTTATCCTATTTCTATAAAAGATAGAACTCTGCTTGTTTTGAGGGAGGACGATTGAAAATAAACGTGAGTTTGAATTGGTATTTGGAGTGATTCCATTGTTTTCTTTATTTCTTTCTCTTTTTCATGCGTTCTCTTCACTGTCAGGCTATCTCCTCTTCATAGATACATTGCAGGGACACAAACTCCATCATCATCTCCTCTATTTTGCACAAGGAACAGGTCTGCAGTTTCAACCATCCTCCCCGCCTTTCGTTCGTTCGCCATCAACACCAACCAGCTCTCAATCACAAGCCCTCACCATCACCATCGCCTACTGCTTGAAACTGAACTAACCAGCCATAAAACCTCAACCTCATTGCCTCAAGATCCCAACCAGATTCACCAAGACTTCAGACGTATACCTGCAATTAATCCTCTTGTTTTCATTACTAAACAATGGTAAACTGAAGCTATTATTCTATTGCTCTTATTTGGGACTGATTTGTGTATTGAACTCCATTGCAGGATCTGGTTATTAAGTTGTCGAGTCCAGTCGCTACGTGTTCGACTAGGATTTGTGGACCGTGCTTGACTTCTCATGTCTCATGTTTATTTTGAACGCGTTTGTTACTTACTGTGATTTTGCTTCGCTTATTATTGTCAACCGTTAATTTATTAGATTTTATAATTAAAAGTTATTATTCCGCTGTCATTTTAGTGTTTGTATGTGTTTACTGTGCATAATACTTTCATTTAGTCACTTTTTCTATTTCCGATAGATCGTGCTATGTCATTACAGCTCCACTAGTAAGTGCAAACACATAACCTGTAACGGATTTGCTATTATCACGATCACCAACATAATCAGAATCAATATAGATATTTCATTAAATATAACGCTCATAGTCATGACTATTCGGACTGTTGTAAATCGAACTACAGTAAAAAATATTTCATTAAAGTCAATACTTTTTTTCTAAACGTATTCTTTAACTATCAATCTAGCACGATATCGCTCTATGGTCATCATTTCGCTTGATCTTATAGACCTATTTGTTTCTAATGATCTTTCTTACTTGTGGTAATGATACAAGTACTCAAGTCTTATTATTATTGAGAGCTTCAATTTTTTCCTACATTACTGTCATCCACAAAAATGTATCTATGTTATTTGTAGCTTCATGAAAAGTTGATAACTTTTCATCCTCTGTTAGAAGACAACATGCAACATTACTCTTCGTAATATACTCCGAGTATCAAGTCGGTGGTCTTCTCTCACGAGTTGACCTTCGAACTTCTGGGGCTTTGGACTAGACTGGTTCTTGTACATCATACTCTGGTGTTGCTTCAGAAGAATTTGGATCATTTTCTATCTAAACAACTACAGTCTCTAAGTCCTTCCTTGAACTACTTTCTTTTTCTTCTCTTCATAGTTGGTTCTCTACAAAGATAACATTTATGCTGATAATATCCTTATGAGTAATAGGATCCCACAAGTGATACCTATTTACTCTGTCAGCACACTCCAAGAATATACATTTCCTGAATTTTGAATCCCGCTTTGTAATTTCTTAGGCATTATACATTACATAAACTGGACTTTTAAATATTTGGAGGTTTGAATAATCAGCTGGCTTGTCAGTCCACATCTCCATCAGTGTCTTTAATTATATTGTGATTAATGGAGATCGATTCACCACATAACAAGTAGTTTTTATTGCTTCTGCCCAAAAGACTTTATCTAAATTTATAGTTGCCAACATTGCTCTAGTTCTTTCCAACAGGGTTTTGTTCATCCACTCCACTACTCCATTTTGTTGAGGAGTATATGCAGTACTGGATTGTCTTTTGATGCCTTCTTGCTTGCAAAATGTAAGAAATTCACCGTTTGTGTATTCTCCTCCATTATTTGTCCTTAAGCACTTGATCTTCTTTCCAGATTCAAGCTCGACTAGTGCTTTGTAAGCTTTAAAGACTGAGAACACATCTGCCTTCTTCTTGATAGGGTACACCCAACACCTTTTAGAGTAATCATTAATAAAAGACACAAGTACTTTGCTCCTTTTATGGATGTAACTGGTGTTTGCCATACATCAGAATGAACCAGTTCCAGAATAGTCTTGCTTATAAAACTCGATATGTTAAACTTCAGTCGATATTGCTTACTTGTAATATAATGCTTGCAGAAGGAAAAAGCTACCGATTTGAGACCTAGAAGCAGATTCTGATCGGAGAGAATCTTCAAGCCTCATTCTGATTTGTGACCTAATTTACAGTGCCACATTATAGTTTGTTCTTCTCCACGGCTAGTTGATGCCACAGCCACACATAAATCAACTTCCTGCATGGTTTCTTCCTTGAGCATGTATAGATTTACAGCTATCTTTTCTCCTTTTATCACAACAAGTGCTCCTCTAATAATTTTTATTATCATATTTTTAATATGGGTCTTGCATCCAAACTCATCCATTTGACCTAAAGGCAATAGATTTTTCTTCAAGCTTTTCACTTGTTGTACATCTTAAATGGTGAGTATTGTACCATTAAATATTTTAATTTTGATAGTGTCAATATTAGAAATATCCAAGATATGATCATTGCCCATAAATACAGATCCCCCTGAGATAGGTTCATATTTATAAAATCATTCTTTTCGGAAGTCATGTGCTAGGAGGCTGCAGAATCTAGAAGCCATAAATCAGTAAACTTCGTTCTGCTTTCATCAATAGTGGTTGCTCTACTGTATAAAATTTCACCATCGTCTGATGTGCTTATGACGCATCATTGAGGTATTGATGGCTCTGAAGACTTTTTATCACCACTCTTCTTATTGTGTCAATACTCCGATTTCACGGGCCTCCTTTTGCCACAATTGTAACATTTAATATTCTTCTTACTTCTTGATTTTGATTTACTATGGGTATGACTCCCACTGGAGCCACATTCTGTTAATCTTCCTCTCGTCATTGGTAAGGACTCCGCTTGTTACGAACTTGCCTGCCTATCTTCTTTATTCTTGCGCCGTTTTCTTCCTCCAGAACGGCTGCTGCAATATTGAAGACTAGATAGTCCGTAAGGATGTTGTTTATTAGATTGATGATGAGCTGATCATACGAAGCAGGTCAACTTTGAAGTAGAAGCTTTGCAGTTTATTTACACCGATTGTATATCCTAACGTTGTGAATTGGGAGAATATTGTGTTTAGGGTGTTGATGTAGATTCCGCCATCCTCAGAATATAAAGTCTCCTTTTAAAGAAGATTTTGTTATGCAAGGATTTGACTTTATATAGCTTTGTTAGAGTATCCTACATCACCTTTGTTATTTTTTTCTCCTCTATGCTTGATAGTACCCTATTTGCTAATGCCAGATAGAAGATTTTGTTCTACTTCTCATCATCTGTGATGTCCTTCTATGGCCTTGCGTCAATGGCCGGACAATTATTTTTTCTGAAGATAGCGTTTATCTTCAACTTTCACAGTGAGAAATTACTCCCGTTGAATTTCTCAATCTCGAACTTTGCCGTCATTGCTTCTACCATGAACGTAAACTTCCACTATTCCATGTGAACAGTAACCATACTCGTAAACAGTGACCGTACTTGTGAATAGTGTTGTACTCGTGAATAATGCTCGGTGCCTTCAAAAGATAACTAATAACCTAGCTTATTTTCTGATGTAAAGATTCACTTTTGATGACAGCAACAAAGCATAAGATAAGCAGATACACGCACCCTAAGCTAGGCTCTGATACTACTTATTGGGATAAACCCGGGGCCCAATAGAGCAGGGTTACAGCGAATAATAGTGCGAAAATAGTAAAATTGAACACAAATTTTACGTGGAAAACCCCCCTAAATGAATTTGAGGTAAAAATCACGGGCAAAAATAGAAGAATTCACTATCAAAAAAATTTAGGAATTACAATTTTTCTTTATAAGGAGAATCTCTCTCCTCCCCCCCCCCGCCCCCCCCCTACTTGCTACTGATGATCTCAACTTAAAGCTAGGGGGCTATACATAGGTGATTTTGTGGTAGGTGTGCATTGTTGCTACAATGATGGTTGGTGGGTCTGTGGTTGGTAGTTACTGTAGTAGGTAGATGGTTATTGCTACTCAATAGTAAACAATCTTAGCCTTCAACAATTTTCAGTGCCATAAGCAGAAGGAAAATTCTCCGTTTAAGTGAAATATCCTGATTACATTAATGAGTAAACTAAAAGAAACCCTTCATCTATACCATGTTTTCCAAGAACCCCCCTCATCTAAAAAGTTCAACAAAAACCCTCATCAGTGACATTGAAGGAAACAGTTAATTTATAATGGAGTTCGTTTTTGTTTCATCGTTTTTGTTTCAAACATCTTGAGAAGATATTGAACTTGAGATTCCATAATTTTCCAAGTAGAAAGAAAAAGAATGAAAGAGTCATATGATTTGAAACAAGAAATGCGCAGATATCCGATGCTCATAAATTGATGGGCATACATAAAATACAAGTCTTACCAAGCTCCCAACCATGAATTGTGTAACCCTTGTTGACAGTGTAACGAATTAGGGCAGCTGCATTGGTGGAGTTCCAAGGTCCACCCAGTGAACCATCTGACAAGGGAACCCTTCCATTGAGAGCATTTAGCCCAAAAATAATCACAGCCCTGAGATGCGACATTTAGTGGTAAGATACAAGCCTCCTTAAGAAGAATTTGTAAAGGATGCATTGATCAATTAAACTTAGTTTAGAATGATATATCATAATCAACCTATAGAAATATAGAATCCCATCTCTCAAAAGTGAGGATTGTGAAATTTCATTCTAGAATATAGAATCTTATTAGGGTTTTCACTTTCATATCTGCTGTAGCTATTGTTATTTCTCAAAACTTTGTAAGGACACGTTAATCAATTTGTTTCAAGATGGGAGGGCGGGGGGATATTTGACATGCCAATTTACTGTACGGTTTCAATTCTTACTATGATTTGCACTTGCACCATATCCTCTCAAAACTGCAGAAAAATGGTTTTTTTTTTTTTTGGCAATAGTTCATAATAAATGTTGCAGCAAGCATAGAAGGCTGAGCTTAAGCACCCAACATGAGGCAAGAATACTATACGTTAGTTAATACTAGCATGAAGTTTCAATAAGGAAATGAATCAATGCATAAAGGGAATAGTGAGGAATAAATCTAGAAAAGTACCCGGCTTTCTGGAAGAAATTATTCAGTTCATCCCATCTCCACATAGGCAAGCATCCCTCAGTAAATCCAAACAGTTCAGAAGCATTTCTAACAAACTGAGCGCACGGCTGTCCAGGAACGCCAGTGTTATATATGACCTTATCTTGTAAAGTGCCTCCTAAACGAATCTTTAATGGAGAAAATGCTGCAAAGACAGTATCAAAAAGGGTGAAGTTACATAGATTATTCTTCAAATTATATTATCTTGAATATAGTTCCTTAAAACTAAGAACTGCTTACCTTTTACTGCATTTAAAAGGATGGGGTTCGAAAGATTCTGCAGGAAGGAAAATATGAAACCCCTGTGTCAATCACCTTTACTAAGTTATTGAGTTTTCAATTTCACAAACATCTTGTGCAAGATCCTTCTTATGATTTGTTAGTAGTTATTCACTTATTTGAAGTACAAATGAACCAAGATATGGAGCAGACAAGAATTTCAAACCAACAGAGAAAAATTTTATAGTTCAAACGGAAGAACCAAATTCTAAAATTTTTATATCTAGATTCCTATCTCCATGGTCCATGCCAGTTGATTTAGAATCATCACAAACAACATCACACCGCACAGGGCATAAAAGCAAAGAAAATAGCGGAGGATAAATTTCAAAAGTATGAAAAGCTTTCTGTGTTAGGTGGAAAAGTAACAGACTAATTCTAAAGACAGGTTTGAAAGATATCTCATTAGGAGAACAGGGCTTAAAGGAAAGAATCTTGTAGCCTGCAATTCATGACAGATAAATTAGTAAACTAGTCATAATTTTTTAAAACAAATTTATCAATTTTAAACAAATTATGTGGTATTGCGACGATCCAATTTAAACCCTTCCAAGATCTTTAACACCCATACAATGCAAATACTCCCTGTTTCTTAAACTAGTCATAATTTTTTAAAACAAATTTATCAATTTAAAACAAATTATGTGGTATTGCGACGATCCAATTTAAACCATTCCAAGATCTTTCACACCCATACAATGCAAATACTACCTGTTTCTTGCAATTATGCTCCCTTATATAAAATCATTCCAGAATACAGAAAATATTGAAGCTTTAATCAAAGACTCAAATCCATGATAAGACATTTGTTGGGGAAACTTGCAAATAAAGAATTTTATAATGGCCGTTCCCATGTTGATCCTTTTTTCCTTCTTCTTTTTGGAGAAAGAACTAAAATGAAACCAAATGCTCCAGCTCACAAAATCATTCATGCAAAAGAGAACTTTTGAAGAATTTGATAAACTATAAAGGAAGAAAAAAGCATTAGACTTTTAGCTGGCACCTTATAAACTTTAAGACCTATGCAAGCAGAAGGGAAGAAAAATACATGGTATTCATGAAAGTAAACAAAGTTATTCACAAATTATACACGTACCAATATAATTACCAACAAAACTAACTAGCAAGGATTCAGAAAAAGTAATTCCCATGGAACAGTTGCTCTAAATTGCAGTACGGTCTAGGACCATGAAATGGACGTAGAACGAAATAAACTAGTATCATGAAACGAAAGGGCAAAAAAACACACAATAAGCCCGGTAATAATCAATACTCAGAAAGAGCCAAATCATATACTAAAACCCATGAAAGCTGCAACAAAATACCTGCAGCCATCAAATGCCAATATCCCACCCTAACATCTTAACCCATTAAACGAGACTTCAGCTCATGAATCTCCACTAGCATTACACATATGCATTTAAAAAACAGAATATGAACCAAACATATAAAAAGAGACATTTTTAAAAGCAGAACAAGTCATTAAAGACAACCGAATCCTAGAATGCATTAGATATATGACGACCAATTCCCAACCATACCACTAAATAACCCAACTATTGATAATTATTTGATCAACTTCCATCCCTTTTCACCAATCATTACTGCCAATATCCCGCTCTAACATTTTAACCCAATAAAATGAAATTACACCGTAGCAATGTCCTTTACCACTATACATAACCCAAAAAAAACAAAAAATTAAATCAAACACACCACAAAAAAGGGAAGAAAAAAAAGGAGGGTTTGTAGGGGCACATTACCTCAAGACTATCAAATCCTAAAAATTCATCACATCTACACAATCAAATTACCAGCCATATCATGAACAAATAGACCCCAAATCAGTCATCAACCATCAATGCCCTATAAAACCCACATCAAAAAAACTGAAAACTAAAAGAATGCGTCTATCAGCAATGCCATGAAAGGCCCGCGCCAAAAAAGGTCCCAAAAAATTAAGATTTAAAAACCTCACCAAATTAAGAAGAGAGGCAAGTCCCCAGCTACAAGTCCCATAGTCACACTTCTCAGGTGGCCACCAATCCAAGGTAGCGCAAACAAAGTCCTCGTCAGTCATGGCAATGGGGTAGTCTCCATTGATTATAGCAATCCCTTGGATCAGCCCACCATTGCCCTTGCTGCAGAAGACTCTGCCAAAGCCAGCCAAGAAGAACAAAGCCCAGAAGAGGAGGCCAAAGAGATGGAGGAGATAACAAGCCATTGCGTGGGGGGCCGACAGAAAATGGAGGAGAAAGGACAGAGCTTTAAGAAAGAGAGGAAGGGGGGTTGCTTTATAAAGTGGGAGAAGTTGAGGAGAGGTTGGAATCTTGGAGGGGTTGGCAATGGGAGGGAAGAACAGGGGAGCAAGGCAAATGGGGGAGGGAGAGAGCTAGTATAATGAGAGGGAGGTGACCACACGCTAAAACCCATTTCCCTATTTTTGAATTTCTGGAGTTTTTGTATTTAGGCGCATGTACAATGTTTATTTATTTGTTTGTTTGGGTTAAATTTCATCAAAATCCCCTTGAGCTTTTTGTCATTTCTAAAAGAGGTTCCTTAATTATACAAATTACAGAAAAGTCTTCTAAATTTTGGGCATTTAACAAAATTCTGTGTACCATTGAGAAGACCCATCAAAGTGTCTGGGTGAGTTAACGTAATACTTTGTTTGGAAGGAGGGAATAGAAGATAACAACGAGAAAGTTCTTTTTTTTTAAGAGTTTTATAGATAGGTAATTATTTTTTTAACATGAGTTTTGCATGGAACTTTTCAAAAGCTTAAAGATGATTGTAAATGTAAAGCTCTCCAAGTTATAACTAGGAAGGTTCTCTCTAATTTTTAAAGTACAAAAGAATTTTGTAAAACTCTCGAAGTTCAGAGAGGTTTTCTCTAATTTTTAAAGTTCAAAGGGATGTGTGCAAATCGCCTCAAAGTTGGGTGTTTTTATATTTACCCTTTATTTTTCAATGTGAAGCCTCGACACTATCAAAAGCTAAAGGACAGACCGATATTCTAATCATTCATTATTTAATGAATACTTATAAATGATTATGATTCATCATAAATATTTTACACCAGAGAAGATAAATCATAATCTTTCATCAAATAATCAATAATGAAAATTAAAAGTGAATGTCTCTTCATTACTTTTTAGTACTCCAGAGGATCCAAAATCTTTTATTTTTTTTATAATTTTCGTAAATATGTGACTGATTCATTCTTTCCGTTTCTCACAATTCAAAGAATGATTGAATGAGAAAATAGGGGTGTAAGTAATTCAAAAATGATATTAATTTGGTTGTATGTATAACCCATTGAGTGTTTTAATGGAACGTGCTGTATTCGTTTTGAACCGATTTGGCATATATGCAAAGTTCTCCCTCTCCCCGAGAGGGACAAGATTTGTGGACATTAATAATGAAATTCCAACATTCTCCATTTCTTAAAAGCACCTTCTAGATTAATGTAGTGTGAAAAACCCCCCAAATCTTTTATTTACTTGTTTGTTTTCATTATAGAGGAGCCTCGACTTTATAAAGGGTGCTAAATGAAAAATCCTCTAGTTTTCTAACACTAGCCTATTTTCTTTCCTTTTTTTTTTTTATTTTCTTTAAAAAAAAGGAAAAACTTTCTAGAGGGAAAATATTATACATGTGATGATGACAAGCGGGCAACAAGCTGCGCCGCTAATCCTAACGAATAATTTCCATTATCCTTTAAGACAAAGTTGAACTGTACATAAGAACACCCACTTTCTGACACTGCCCAACAACCTTAAAGTGACCCATAAACTGCCAGTGGGTCCCAAAAACCAGTAAATCTGTGGGTGCAATAAAGACGTTACCTTACTAAGGGATTTTTTTCTGTTAATTTTCCTTATTGGGAGAATTAGGAGGTCGGATTTGAACAATTGCTCCTCTTGGCGATACTTGCTAATCTTGGCGGTCTTTTGTCTTCTTTCGGCTGCAGGAACACGTGCCTTGAGAGAGGGGAAACGGGAATGGGAATGGGGAATGAATGCGGTAGAGAGCCCCCTTTGGGGATTGGTGGTTTTATACGTACTTTATTGCAAGGAGTACAGCAATGAGCAGCCATTCAAGCTCAATTTTACATGAGTCAAATCCTTGAACCTCTCAATGATCGTTGTCCAGTCAATGGATTAAGGACTTTAATTTCTCTACGGACCTGTTTGATTTGTCAAAAAAAATGCTGAAAAGCATAAAAATAAAAACTGATATTCAAGAAAAACCCAAAAAGTTGCAGTTTACCTTTCATCTTTTGACGTTTGGATAGCAAGAATAAAAAAGGAAAGAGGGGAAGAAACCGCGTGCCACATCATCGTAAAAGGAAAGTTGATTTTCTATCCAAAAACCACCGATTTCGGCAGAAATCCGACATCTATGGCATAAAAATTCAACATTACACCTCTCTTGACATGTAGTGCCCCAAATCTGGGTCTTGGTGTCCTTGTCGTCAACGTGAATGCTTCGAGTGGCGAACTCGACGCTGATCGTGGATTTGGACTCGAGGCTGAACTCGTTCCTCGTGAACCAAGAGAGGAGGATCAAGACGACCTTGAAGAGGCAATTGTAGTCGTCGTCTGCTCGATATGCCATTACAGAGGGAGCAAGAGCTTCAATTTCGATTTCTTTAAGGGCTTGTTTGGATTGAGGGGGAATGAGGGTGAAGGGAAGTTAGGGGAACCATTCACCTTGTTTGGGAACACTTTCCCCTTGGTTCACCCCCTAATAGTATAAAAATTGTTACCCCTAAATTGGGGTGTAACCAAGGGGAAGGGAACTCCCTTCCCTTCTCTTCCCTTCCCTTCACTCAGTTTCCCTTAACTTCTCTTCACCCCTTACAAATCCAAACAGGCTAGGGTTTTTCCATCCCACTCTTTGTCCTTTTCTTTTCTTATTAATGGTGTGCATTATTATACATAATAAATTGTGTTATTTTTTTCTTTTGCTAATCATTCCAATAAAAAATTAGTCGGAGGCTTTCTTGCATCTAAATGCCCGAAGTTTCACCCTTTTTATAACTTTGCTACACTAATCTTATAGTTTGACAATTTTGATATTCTAAAGTTTTTGAATTAACATTAATTTAACACTATGATAATTGACACATTAATTTTGACATTACCCGTGATATTATTGACACGTTGGTGGTTTATAGAGATGGCAAATTAGTCCCTCGCATCTTTAAACATATTTTGAAATTTCTCTGTTGATGTTCATATTTTGAAATTAGTCCCTCAAAATTTTAAATATTTTGCAAATTACTACCTTGATCTGTAAACATTTTTGCAAATGAGCCCCTTAAATCTTTAAACATTTTGTGTGATGGCAAGTATGTTGGCCACTTAATTTTTGTGCTAATAATTTTGTCTGAACCAAATACTAGAGAAAATGAGAGTATCTATTCACATATCAATTACTTTTTTTAAAGTTGAACCAAACTAAGGAAAGTAGTAAAAATTACTTTTACCTCATGTTTTTTGGCGAAACAACACAAGAAATACTTTCCCTGAAAGCGAATATAACATAAAAAAGTGAAGGAAAATGATTTTTGTAAAATGAAGGAAAACAACCAAACAAACCCTTTGTAAATTCGTAAAGGAGATTTGAAAATTATATTGATTATGGTGGTGTATACCGTGTATTACAATATGAAAAGGATAATCTGAGCTATTCCCCAAGAGTGTAGGAGAATAATTTAGAGATTTCAGTTGCTCTATTATGATTTAGGACAATCTATTTGCTTGTAGGATGTTCTATAAGATCTATATTCATTGCACACGAACTATTTAGCGCCCCCCTACCCCACCCCACCCCGCTAACCCCCCAAAAAAAACCCCACCAGAGATGTTATATTTGATTCTTGTAAATGTTGGCAAGAAATTTGTTAAATTAGTTAGGTCTATATAAATATTAAGTAATTCAAATGCACTTATCTTAATAATAAACTTAACGTAAATGAACCAATTGGATGATGGGAGTGTTCATTCATGTATAAAGAATGTGATTACAAAGATTTTGGGTAAGGTAAATGTTTTATTAGTGTTGGAACAATCAAAAGCAAAGCAAATAGAAGTATAATATGTATGAGGAGAGATTTAATGGGAGAAGCAAATAAAAAAGTTATTTTTAGCTCTTGGTTACTGTAGCTACATTACTGTAGCTACAGTACTCGGCTCCTTTCTTTTTTTCTCTTAGGTAGAAGGATGCATGAATGTTTATTTAAAGGCTTTACAAAGTGTTTCATAATAAAATTCTAGTATGACTATAATTCCTAGAGATAACTAAGCCAAATCCTTTTAGAATTAGGATTAACTTCAACATCCCTACTTAATCCTAATTCTGTAAGGTCTCCATTCCCATCATGTGCTTCAACTTGACAAATGCTTCAAACTTCAAAGGTTTCGTGAGGATGTCTGCAACGTGATCTTCAGACTTGCAATAAATCAACATGATCTCATTCTTCTCAACATTGTAGGCATCGAAAATTGCCTATAGGTCTCCACAAACGGTTCAGTGTTAATGAGCGACAATGAACAGCATCGAAAATTGCCTATAGGTCTCCACAAACGGTTCAGTGTTAATGAGCGACAATGAACATCACCATCCGACCCACATGAGCCTAATGTTAATGAGCGACAATGAACATCACCATCCGACCCACATGAGCCTAATCGACGTCGACGAACGACTGAAGAGAATCGACGAGCTACATGAGCGGATAAGACTTCGGAATAACGAAAACTCGTGCCAATCGGAAGCCCGGCACTGCTCACAAAAAGGACAATGCCCTCCGTGCCTCGACCACTCTAAAGACAATCCAACCATCAGAGCGGATCGAACTCTTCGTCACGCATCCAACGCACCCGGAATCACTCAAATCCGAGTTCGTACGAAGAATCTACGGGGGAAAACGATCAAATACACCTACGGACGTCTCGGAGTTCCGAAACACCCCCAGGGGTGTCTCAGAAATTCCGAGACACCCCAGGGGTGTCACGGACGCCTCGGAGTTCCGAAACACCCCAAGGGTGTCTCGGATTTTCCGAGACACCCCTAGGGGTGTCTCGGAATTTCCGAGGCACCCCAAGGGTGTCTCGGATTTTCCGAGACACCCTAGGGGTGTCTCGGATTCTTGGAGACACCCCAAGGGTGTCTCAGATCTGTGCGGACACCCCTGGGGTGTCCTAGATCTGTGCGGACGCCCCCCCTCTTGTTTTCCTATAAATAGGACCCCCTTACCTCATTTGGAATGATCTGGATTTTTGGAGAGCCTCGGCGAAGCCCTGCTGCAGCAAACACTGATCGAGCACTTCAACCGAGGAGGAGAGGTAGAGTGCCCGTGTGCTTCAACAAGAGGAGGAGAGGCCTTG